AAATAAATAAAATAATATTCTCAAAATAATCCTGAACAAATGGGGCGTTACACCTCCGAATTACGTTATTCAAGTCAAGACCGACGTAAAGAAGATCAAAATCAACTTTGCGGCGAAGACCAAGGAATCGTGTTCATCACGTTCTTGGGAAATCACAACGTTCGATTCGAGATCAAGCTGTCAAGCCCTCGAAGAAACGTTACTTAAATCCAAATTCAAGACCGACGGGGACCAAACTGAAGATTAGTCTCCAAAAGTCTCATATCCATTTGAAGATTGTTCTTGAAGAAATTAATCAGAAGAATAATAGAGATTTGTAATCCACTATATTTCGTTTGATCCGTTGAAAATCCATTTGTACGAATTTCTCGTGTTTATTAATTCAATAATACGAAATTTTGCGTTACACATGGTTTGTGAGAGCATCACGCTTGGGTAAGTCGAACACCTTTAAAATAAGAGCTGTCGGGACTGAACATGTATGTCCGTTTGATGTTCGAACAAGTAACCAGAGACAAGCGACCTCAACTGTTGTTAGCGATTTTATCAAGACGAAATTTGCGAACACGAAGACAACATATAATCCCCTTGATATCGTTGACGACATGCAAACTCGTTTTGGGATAAATTTGACGTACCAAAAAGCGTGGAGGTCGAAACGGAAAGCTATTGATGTAGTACGTGGCAAAGTTGATGAATCTTACAATTGTGTTCATCAGTATCTTTTGAAGGTACGTGCATCAAATCCGGGTAGCATTTTTAAGGTGAGCACCACTCCGGAGAAGAATTTCTTGTATGTTTTCATGTCTCTTGGAGCATCTGTTAAAGGATGGGCCCATTGTCGACCAATTGTTATTGTCGATGGCACATTTTTGACTTCGGCATACGGGGGACTTTTGTTAACAACATGTTGTCAAGATGCAAATTCTCACATCTTACCACTTGCATTTAGTGTTGTTGATTCGGAAAACAACCACTCATACATGTGGTTTTTTACAAAATTGCAAGCTGTTATCGGTGAGAGGGTTGGTCTATGCATTGTTTCAGATGGTCACGAAAGTATCAGACACGCTGTGGAGCAGGTAATGGTATATGTTGAGTTATAATTGGGTATATTTACCGGTGAATATACTGATGATACAACGAACAGCGTGTTGTTTTTTGATTTACACACACACATATATAAATTAATTATTACATAAAATGATCAATCATCAATTATATTTATATAGGTATTTCCCAATGTGGCGCATTGTTTATGCACCTATCATATCTCAAACAAATTGAAGATGCATTACAAGACTGAGGCACAGGCAGTGAAAGAGGAGTTTTATGCAGCAACAAGAGCATATACCGTAGAGGAATTCAATATGCATATGTCTCAATTAATGAAGTTGAATCCGAATGTCGTAACTTATCTAAAAAAAATCGGCATTCAAAAGTGGGCACGAGTTCATTGCCCCAATAATAGATATTTTACCATGACATCTAATGTTGTTGAGTCAATAAATGCTGCCATTCGAACCGTTCGTGACCTACCGATAACAACACTACTAGAGGCTCTTAGAGAAATGCAACAGAGATGGAATGTGGCAAACAAGGATGAAGCCAAGGGCACATTTACTACTCTTGCAAAGAAGCCACATAGTATGTTGGAAACTAATTACAAAATAGCAGCAAGATATTATGTAAGTATTAATGGTTTTCTTTTTATTTTACATTTTTTTTGTTTTTGTTTTTGTTTTTATTTTTATTTTTTGGGAACATATGTACATAACATATACCGAAAATATACTTACAATATACTAAAATGTGTAACAGGTGCAGAAAGCCAGTGACAAAGTGTATAAAGTGATAGCTGACGGTAAAGCCTTCATAGTTGACACGGAGTCAAAGTGCTGCACATGCCACCGATTTCAAGTTGATGAGCTGTCGTGCCCGCATGCTATACGTGTTATAAAGTCACTCCACCTGGATCCCGTTCCATTCTGTCTGGTGTACTACCTTAACTCTACATTGTTGGCAACTTATGAGGATGTTGTTATACCAATTGAAGGAAATATAGCATTCACGAGTGAAGGGCAATCTGACAGTACATTGATAAGTCCCCCAAATGCACGAGTAAGGCCCGGGCGACCACGCAAGCAACGGGTAAAGTCGGGATGGGAGCATAGGTCAAAAAATAGGTGCAACAAGTGTAATGAGAAAGGCCACAATGTGAAAACTTGTAGGAATCCGAAAAGATGAGAGTATAAGAATTGTTATGTATAATTGGAATCGTTATTAATTCATTAATCTGGAGTTTTTTTTTTTTTGTGTTTGTATTAATATGCACACATTTCTCTTATATGTTTTGACTTATAATAGGATAAAGTGTAGCATAACATTGCATATACTCCACATATAATCAGAAAAAAACATTAAAAAGAGTGTAAGATAAAATGGAATGTAACATTGCATATACTCCACACATAACCCAACATATTACAGAAAGATAATTTCCACCAACCATATATATAAGTACACTAGATATACTATTAGATATACCAAACATATAACAAGATATATCAAACACATAACTAGAAATAAATCCAAACATCACAAGTTGATATACACAATTGTCATATTATACCTAGCACAATCATAACCACTTACCAAATTGTTCGACACAAAATAAGATCACATCCAAATTATTCTGGAGTTTATTTTTTTGGATTTGTATTAATATGCGTATTTTTTAAGTATCATATTGGTATATGTCTGTTATTTTTGTGTCTGAGTATAAAGCAGAAAATGTATTAAGTTATATTATGTATATATTTATGTTATATTATGGGTACTTATCTGTTATATTTTTTGACTTCATATAGGATAAAATGTAGCATAACATTGCATATATTCCACATATAATCAGAATAAAAACATTGAAAGAGTGTAAATTAAACTGGAACATAACATTTCATATACTCCACACATATAACTGGATATACCAAACATATAACTAGAAAATACCAAACATATAACTAGAAATAAAACCAAACGTCACAGGTTCACATCCACAATTGTCATATTAATACCTAGCACAATCATAACCACTTATATATTTTAAAAATATATAAAAATAAACCATCAGATAGTATATGTAATATAAGTTGACAAATATTCCAGAGATATAACAAAAAAAAAACATTGGATATACCAGAGATTTGAAAATTAAAAAAAAAACAGTGCATATACCAAAGATATAACAAAAATAAACCTCGCAGTAATATATGTTTAAGCAATGTAAATCTTCCTACACATTGTTTTCCAACCTAAAACATAAACAAAATACGCACACATAATAAGGTCTGAAACATACACCCCGAAAAANNAAAAAAAAAAAAAAAGGAATAAGAGATGTTCTACTATTTATGCGGAACATTCAGAAAGCCAAAACGAACTTCATTAGGCAAGGTACCGGGTGATTCATCTTCACTCTCAAACCCATTAGTCTGTTTCATTAGACCATGAGTGTATAGAAGATAACCATATTTATGCCTCTGGACAGTAGCATCAATGTTCGATTTGATAATATCATGACCGGCAATGAAATACTCGGCAAATGAGGCAACATATATCCCGCAGTCGCTGCCAAGAATAGTAATAATTAAACTAAAAATTAACAACTATAAGATCGAATTGCTAAATTAAATTAGTTAAAACGAAATTGGCAATTAAAAATAATTGAATGAATTAGTTTACCTATTTAGCTGCTGGGGAACATTATCCACCATAACAACCTCAAGTGGATCGTGCGCTGCTTTATTGGGGAACTTCACCTAGTCAAGGAAAATGGGGATAAGCTCAAAGTACGCCTTCACATTCTTCATAACAAGATTATCACAATCTTGTGTGCGATTTGAATTGTAGATTCGAAGTTTCATATCATCAAAGGACAATAGACCCATAATCCAATGACCGACATTATTTATTTCCAAATGGATCGGAAATATGACATGATCAACCTTA